GGGTAATGTTGGAGGAGAATAGAGAAAAATAAGGAAAATAGGATTTGAGGTGGATTGAAAATGCTCTAAGTGTATATGATTGTGGGTGACACATACTCATGGGGAATTAAAGGGTGCAAAGTGGGCAACTGCATATAACCTATTTTTTTTTTATTATATATATTTATTTAAAAATAAAAACTTATAATAACGATAAGGGCATTTTTATTTAGCTCTTTGAGAATATTTAATTTATCAGGACTGAACCTGCACATATCTTCTATTTATTTGAAAATAAAAATCGATGTTTTGTTTACATGATTTATCCTATAATTATCATAAACCAAATTATCAATCATAAAGAGTTATATTTGTATGTATTAAGAATTAAAATTGATCTTCTTATCAATTAGAGAATTAACTAGATTATGATCCGCGTTAAACGTGGGGAACATAAATTCAATACATACCACATTAATAGGTAGCATTGTCTTAGGTGAAATTTTAATAAAAAAATGTTAGTTAGATTCATTTTTAGAGTTTTTGAACCAAACTTATTAAATAAAATATTTAATATTTATATTAAATCAATTTGTTTTTTTTAATACAATATTTTTTAACACAAATGATCCACGTGATCTTTGTTTTATCACAACATGATGCAACTCTTTGATTAAAACATGTTGCGTAGTAGCTTTATCAGTTGATTTTTTTCGGTGTACCCACTCTCATGGAGGCTCATATGACTCTTTTCATATTGGCTCTGTAAACCAAAAGCAACAATAAGTTGTTATATGTACCAGCAACATTAAATTCCACAAAGAAATTCGATAAACATTACAATTAACGTGTATTGTCATAACTATAAACATCAAATTCAGACATTGTAATTTGGTCAATTTCTAAAGTATTTTTGCTTTAGAAGAATTAAAATATGATTTTTTTAGGTTACACCCAATCACATATACATATCTTCCAATCGAAGAAATTATTACAAAAAAAACATGTTATGAACAAAAATATAATATTAGTTTCATAATTTGTCAAAGGTTAACATTAATAAATAATAATGAACATTTACAAATCTTGCATTTTGGTCACTGAATCCAACTAACAAATGAAATTCAATTTAGATGATTGATTCAAGAAGTGCATCCATGACTTTTTGTAGTTGATTTCAGGGAAATGCTAAGACCTATTGAGATAAAAGGGAACAGTGTGTGAGGCTACGATTGGTTTCTGGAGGGCAATACAAATTCAAAATCATTAGCACATATCTTTCCACCTTGCTTCAATTTTTAAATTTAGATAAAACTTATCAAAATGAAATTACAAAAAAAAAAAAACCCTGATATGTAACCTAGCAATTAAACACCATATTTTTCACAGAAATAAATATCACAAATCTACAATTTATACTTTATATGATATTCTTTAATTATATCTTACCTTTCATATTTAATGGTTACTAACACCTCTTTCTGCCTTATTTTTGTGACAATCATCTATATCGAAAATAAGAGAAAAAACTATAAAGAACGAATGTTGACAGAGTGATCTTTCATTGAAAACACAACAAAAATTTTCATAGAGCCGCTAGGAATCTTTTATAGACCATTAGAAGGTCTCTATAGTGACAAATGTGTGGCATCTATGAGAATGCACAATTTAAAGTAACAGTTTTTATTAATGTAAGTGAAAAATCATTTATAATGTTTACCGGTTATGATCGTTTCCACTTGGATGTGAGCATTAACATTCTTGTAGAGAAGTGGAACTTCAAATGAACCCTACATAGCCAAATCAACAAACATGACAACACAAAAAGAAGCCCATATTGACATATAACTAAATTTCCAACAAATTTCAAAATTTTAAGCTTTCTCTGAACAATTTTTTCAATTTATCAAAATTTTATTTTATTACAACCATATATGAGTAATCAAGAATCTAACAAAGTGATATAAGTAATTGTTCATTTAAAGCCAGTAAAAAATACAATATTGTGAAATTGCTTATAATTTACATGTTTGTTTATTGTCCTGAAGGTACCACTTGGATATGTACTATTATTTGATTAATTAGTGCATAAATTACATTGCAGAATATGAAATTCAACAATTATTTAAATTCATTTACACTTGATTTAACAATAGAAAATGGTCAAATTTATAATCATAAAAGTATGCTTAATTCAATAAATTTGTTATCAAAATTAATGGAAATATGAGTTTTTTTGAAGAAAGAAATCAAATACACAAAAATGATACAAATAAAAAACAAAGAATGGAGCAAAAAACATTTGAAGATCATGTGAGAAAGGTGTGAGCAATAACATCTTTTTGAAACTTTTCAATATAATCATGATTAATCTTTTTTTGTCTTTAAGATGATAAGAACAAATATGTAGAGAAAACAAATTCATAATCATAAAAAATGCTTAATTCAACAAATTTGTTATCAAAGTTAATGGAAAATAATTTTTGTCGAAATAATCAATTATTAAGTATGTAGGATATTACCACTAATGGATTTAGAGTTTTGCATCATCATCAAACTTCAATATAGACATCAACTAATGCTCATCACTTTCAAGTAAAATTTTCTGCAATTTAAACTTAATTATAGTAAATCTAATCAATAACATTATAAAAAGGGTAACGTTAAGAATAAATATGTACAATTATTGAGTTAGTTAGTTGGAAATCAAGCGATTGTAATTTAACATTTATAAGACCAATTATTACTTTCAAAACTGGAAGTATTTACTATATTAATAAGATTTAAATGCAAGGTGATTGTTTTTCCCTTGATAAGTTTTGGTACCATCGATGTATATGGAGAAAGAAATTTTGAATTTTATTTTAGGGATAGAGGAAATTGGTGAGCGTTTGAGCAGAAACATTGATGGACATCGTGTTTGACCAATAGTTGGTCAAGATGGCATAAGCAATTTAATATAAGGGTGAAAAATATATAAGTGAAACACAATCAAATGTTTTTATTGCTTTAGACGATGAAATAAAATTTCTATTATAAACATACACTACTAGAAAAATATCCTTTTACGACGCACATTTAATGACACACACTGATAGAGGACGTGGATTTGAGCGTGCCCTAAAAATTAATGTTAGTTTTCCAAAATTTGAAGGATAGAAGACACACATTTTTTCGTACCCTAAAATTAGTGTCAGAAAAGAAAAAAAAAAGAAATACGGAGGGCACCTATCAAAAGATGTGTGACGTGTAACTGTGTCGCTTTATATTTTTTTTGGAAACACGCGTTTTTAGTGGGAAAATGAAATCCAAAAAATTAACCCCCGCCTATTCATCCAAAAAATTCACTGCCTATTCATCCCAAAAATTCCCCGCCTCTTCGAATTAGCGCCTTCGTCTTCATCCACAGCTTCCTCAATTCCTAGATCCATCACCACGAAAAACCTAATTCTCGGTTCCAACAAGTTCTTACACTCTTAATTCAACCCTAATGAGCTGAGGATTTAGGGTTCTTACCTCCCAGTTATCAATTTGAGCCGATGATTTAAGGTTCCTAAATCCGACCCTAATTTTTTCTATCTCACTCTCGTATTTCCATCTCATCCCTCTCGCCTGGTTCAAAACATGTAAGGGGCGACAAACACACTATTTATTTGCGTATTTTGGTCTTCACGAAGATCTCGTTTCCATGTAACCTTTATGTTTCGAGCCCAAACCATCCTCATGCGATGTCATCAGCTTCTCTTACTTACACATCTGCACTCGGTGGTTCTTTGTCTAGAAGCACCACTCCCGAACCTCAAATCGTGGCTAGGCTAACTAATCCTCGCATTCCTGCCGCCGGAGGCAGGGTTAACTCTGATCCATCTGAACCATCTGACCTAGCAGCAAGCATGAGTCTATCAGCAGATGGTCTGACAAATCAAGAAAACGAGATTGATGACCAGAACACCCATATCAAACATCCATACTTGACCAACAAAGGTTTGTATCAATTTTAATGCCATGGTACATATATCTTCTAATCTTCTCATCTATCTTCTCATCTTTTACATATCAATTTTAAGCCTAATACTTTCAGTTTCTAGATTATATATGCAGAGGAGCTAGAGGCGGCAACCTAGAATCACGTTGTAACGCCTAATTATGAGTCTTAGTGATAAATCAATGATGCGAGATAGTCATGCATACACCAATGGATCTGAGTTTCAAATGATTAGGTAAGGTGTAAATTAGACAAAAAGAATAAGGTGTTCGATTCACCCTTCTCCAAATTCTTCTCTTTAATATCTATGTAACTGAGTCACATGCTACTATCTTAGAATCATGAATAAGGTGTTTGATTGAAACTTTGGATGAGATGGTATCATAGTTACCTAATTCGCTCATAAGGCCACGAACTGCGTACCAAATCGTTTCGTACCCAATCGGGTACGAAAGTGTTCCGAACGTGACCTGGATCGTAAACCGGTTGTCGAGATAGTTCCCAATTGGAATCTGGAACAAGTTTGATTCGGTAATCTAATAGTTCTAAAACACGATTTCAGGTTCAATTTCTGAAATTGGTATTTCAATTTTTGATATTGGTACGCCGATTTTATGGAATGGCGGGAAACTGCCGACTGTTTCCACATCGATTCTTAGACTCTTAATTCTTCTAATTCACTGAACCATCTTACACACTAATGTTCAATTTCTTATTCTGAGTACTATAATTTTGTATATAATACTCAATTTGAAATCATCTTTTAGAATGATTGTTTGTGTAGTTGATTTTTACAAAGTTTATACAGAGTCTATACGTACCAGACTAGCTATTCAAGTTCTTGTTCAGTGGGATTATTGGTCCTGAGCTTGCTATTCAAGTTCTTGCTCAGTTTGATAAGGTCTCTTAACTCTTCAGAGCTTCTTCTTCTTCTTTTTTAACTATGTGTTAATTCAGTGTGAAGGTAGTATGTGTTTTGATGATTATTTAATCTGTGATATATTATTATCACTTCATGATTCATTGGTTGTAGTCAATGGCTGAAGCTCTGGACAATCAGGTTAAGACCAAGGTCTCTATTAAGGTAAATAATTTTCATCTCTTCAATTCTGGTGTGGAGAGAAAATGACCATTATACCCTTTACATTCCAGTTAACAAATTTCATAATATCATCAATTTGAACATGATATAAGTTACATAAGGTAAAGAGTTAATGACTTGATACATTCAGTCTTAGGCTTTGGCTTAAGCATGTAAGAGCTAAATGACGATTATAGCCTTGGTGTATGGATGTTGATGATTTGGTTTATATAGTGAGGTGAGGTTTGTATACTCAGATTTGAAACACTAAAATCCATAAGCTTTTTCACAACTGGAAGCTATCCTACCCTAAGTTCTATTTAAACTTTCAAACACACACACACACACACACACACACACACATATATATATATATATATATGCATATTTAGTTATTCTATAAGCTGACGTGGCATATTTCAGGCGCTTTTGGCTAAACTATGTGAAGGAACAACAGAAGTGAATGCAAACAATGGCACCATTAGTGGTGTTTTTGTAACTGTGGGATATCTTGCTAGAGTGGTAGGAGATTGTTACATTTTTTGTTCTCTTAAGTGTAAAATGTTTGATTTGTTGAGTCTTACTTGTATATGTGTAGGGCGCTTTTGTTATGAGATAATATATCCCTGAACTTATGCCAAGAACTGTTGAAGCTTTGTTGGATGGAGCTGCTGCTACTAAACGTGAGGTTTTTGTTTCAACTGTTGGTCAGGTTGTACAGAGCACAGGGTATGTATTCATCTTTACCAATATTACAAGTGACACTGCAATTTATTTTTATTTTGGTAACTTCTTCTCTTCATCTCCCTCCAATCAAAAAAGCATTCGTTTTCTAATTTCTACAACTCTATATAGGTATGTTTTATTTACTGCATTCACTCAATCAACCGTCATTATTCAATATCTACCTTACAGTTGAGAATTTAATGGATGTCTTCACTCTTTTGTTTGATAGACACATTTAGATTCATCAATTGTTCGACATAAGGCTCATATAATGAAGCTAGAGTTGAGGACTTCATTGATGACTATGTGGAATGACATCAGGTCATCATATACTTTTTTCCCTTTCACATTTTCTCAATAGTTTCTTTAAGGTTCTCTCTACTATGTGGAACGAAATAAGGACTTCATTGATGATAAAAGAATCTTGGGTTTTCACTTTTCACAAAGCATCTAAAACCACCACAAACCATTTCATATGCAGGAGGATTTTGATGAATTTGAGGATGTTGATATGTTATACAACACCTTATCACTAGACAAAGTAGAAGCTCTAGAAGATCTTGTTATCATTGGTCCACCTGGCGTTGTTAAGGTAACAACATATCTGTTGTTCAAAACCCTACTTGTTGAATTTATATTCCATTCATCATCTAGAAACTAGTTCCAATTAGAAACCATGTCAACTTAGTCAAGTTAGTTTGCTTAATTGCCCTATGTAGAAGGAATTCATATGAAGAAAAATTTCATGAAAATAGTGGTCATCATTTTTATTGTTTTGGCAGGGCGTTGGTGCTACTGTTTATGTCTAATTACAAATTTAGTATTGATCAAAAGGACTAAAGATCATAAATGGTATAGGCATGGCATTTTGTCAAACAGTTGATATGCATAATATTTTATCAAATATTGATCCATATGGGTCGTGTGGCAAACCATTACGTCCACCAATTTAGGAAAAGGCAGACAAAAAACCATGCATTATTTAAGATGTAATGATCATTTAGTTCTAAGTCTTTTTACATGATATTTCATTATATGTTCTCTAAAAGAAAAAAACTACACTTCTAATGGTATCAGTAAAATTGTAACTGGAAATGGGGAAAAGTAAAACAGAAAACACCTGATGTTGATAATAAGATTGAACTATTGCAAAGATGGCAGCAGGATACCTTACAACAGGTGAATGCTCACATTCAGTAACTGAAACAAAAAAAACAAATAATAAGCCAACCCATTAGCTTTTAAAAATATTACCTTATTAGAATAGTAGAAATCCGGTGACGTTTAAATATAATATAAGCAAAAAGGTTTTTCATATTTTTTTATCCATTGGACTGTAACTTGGTCTTAGAATTACCTTATGTATATCTTCTTGTTGTTCTTGCTGAATCTCCTTGCCAAAATCTTGCAACCTTATACATGAAGTAGGCATCATCAATTTCACATCAGGGTTGAATGAGCGTCGTAAAAGGCTGTTTTTCTAGTAGTGATAGAATTCAATATTCTATTTTGCAAATGTAAACATCATAGTCTTCGCCTCTCTCTAGCATCATTGTAATGGTAAATTGAGACGAATTATTCTTACTCTCATGGTAAATTGACCTTTTGAGGCATTAAGTTGGTCTATGAATGTATTGTTACTTTGAGCCATGTTTTTGTTTGTGAAAAAACTAATGATTGTTAAATACATGTGATTCAACCAAGTAATATAGACCATGTAAAATAGACAAAACATGAACAAGTTAAAATCATAGGGTTAGAGTGAAAATATAGTTTTAGGGACGAAATTTGTAACTTTGACATAAATCAAGGACGCTGAATGTAATTTAGTCTAAAGCATATAATGTAGAAAGTATTTTGTATGTAATCAAAATCAAAATTATAAGAATAAAATAAAATTTTTTATCATCCAAATATTGAATGATGTTATATACTTTTAAAAACTTCATAAAGCAAACTTGGCAATAAAGTAAGGATAATTAGTTTTTGCTGATGCTCATCAGAAACCATATCAATAAGTATATACCATTAATTGTTTAGACATCCTTCAAAGTTGAGCATTTTTATTAAAATATATATATTTTATAAATGGACAACAATATATAGCAATATAAATTATTTTTTAAAGCAATTTTCTACTAATAAAAAGTTGGTATTTACATATAAGGTATTAAAAAATTCATACATTCGATAGTTTTGACTTATATACCTAAAACAACTGACTATGTAGTTTTAACTTTTTTATATCTTTACAAAAACAGTTTAAAACAACAATGTACTTTCAAAGTAATCGTATATATAAGGTGTTTTTGAATAAGAAAATCATTATCTTTCAAAAAAATTAGGAACCTAAGATATCATCATGGAGATTTTTGGCTATTCATCTGTTGAAAAAAGATATTAGTTATATTGATTCAAAACTTCAAATTAATTGACTTGCTTATTTAACGAGTTTTAAAATGAAAACCATTATCTCAAACTGATTCAATTACGTGGGATATACTGAGAGATAAATTATGAATAATATTGACTTTAATTTTGACTCTAAAATATTTGTTGATTTAATGGGATTATGTTAGATTTTATAGTTAAATAACCGAATTATTAATATGCTTATTTAATGGGTTTTTTCTGAAAAAAAAAGCGCTAAACGGGTTAGAATTTTGAAGCGAAAAGTTATAAATAATGGAGTTAAATTAGGAATAGTATTAATTAGAAAAACTGATATCTCGTTTATAAATAGAATGATATGCTTCTACTGATAACATAATTCTCAATTGAATTTAAAGATTCTAAAATTAAATGTAATTGTGTTTGAATTCTATTTGGTTAAGATGATATTCGCACTTTGATTTAAGGGTGGAAAACATATGATTAAAGTACAATTAAGGGCCCAAATTGCTTTATTGGTGAATTAAGGATTTTCGTTTAATAAAATTTAGAGATAGAGATGAATGAAACTAATATTCTTAAAGCAGTTTGATTAACTTTTTTCATGACCTCTCAAACAGGAATATTGTAATAACAAGTAATAAGAACAAAGTAAATGCAAGAGATTGGAGAAGAAGAAGGAGAACAGAGTAAAGAAAGAACCTAGAAAAAAGAATTGGAGGGAAGACCATTGAAGAAGAACATTGTAAATTGTAGGACTCAATCTATAATCGTAATAATAACTACTGCAATGTAATCGTATATATAGGGTGTTTTTGAATAAATAAATCATTATCTTCTAAAAAAATTGGGATCCTAAGATATCGTTTGGGGATTTTCGATTATTCATCTGAAAAAAATTAGTTATATTGATTTAAAATTTCAAATTAATTGAGTTGCTTATTTAATTAGTTTTGAAATTCAAACTATTATCTCAAATTGATTCATTTTACGTGGGATATATTAAGAGATAAATTATGAATAATATTTACTTTAATTTTGACTCTCAAATATTTTGCTCATTTTATGGGATTGGATTAGATTTTATAGGTTAAAAAAAATACAGAAAAAAAAGCTAAACGGGTTTGTATTTTGAAGTAAAAAGCTATAAATAAGGGAGTTAAATTAGGAACAATATTAATTAGAGAAACTGATATATTTTATATAAATAGAATGATATGTTTCAATTGATAACATCATTGCTGAATTTAAAGATTCTATAATTAAATGTAATTGTGTTTGAATTATATCTGGGGAAGATGATGTCAACAATTTGATCTAACGGTGAGAAACATATGATTGAAATACAATCAAGGGCCCTGATTTCTTCATTGGTGATTTAAGAGTTCTCTTTTAATAAAATTTAGAGATTAGAGAATGAAAATCGCGTAGCCAACAACTTGTTAATTGAAACCTTGCCGACGAATAAAAATAAAATAACTACCAACCATCTTGGTAAATATGTAATTAAGAGAGTTATTTATGAAAAAATATTAAGATAACTGATGTATAATCAATAAATATAATGAATATAAATGGGGATGGAGGCACTTATGAATTAGAGATTTAATTGGAGTGCTAGAGTGGTGAATGCGCTTTTGCCTCCCGTTTCCCTAATATCTCCGAGTTCGATAAAAGGAAGTCTTGCTTAGTTAATGAAAGGGTGGGGCATAATAATCTGTCTTTGGTTTGGAAGAAATCCCCAACAACTTTTAGGAGAAGTCAGAGTTGTTTTGTCTTCGTGGGTAAATTTCTTAGCTTTATCTTTTTACTGGTTTCTATAAGTGGCATTTTAAACTGTCTTCCAACGGGTTTTTCTATGTTAGCAACCTCAAAGATCTCATTGATTTGATTTTTACAGTTCCTGTTTCAAATCCTACCATGTACTATCATTTGGCTCCTCTGAAAGTGATTGGGTTCGTTTGGTGTGCTTCTATGGACCGGATTCCAACTGCTATGACTCTATTGCGTCGTGACATTTCTCAGATTTCTCCAGTGTGTCACTTATATTCTAATGGTTTGGAAGAGGAATATCACTTCCTTGCTAGGTGCCATTTTTCTAAGGAGGCATTAGATTGGGTTTTAAAATTGTGCGATATTCCTTTTATTAATTTTCGTCGGTTGTCGATTTCATGAAGTTTGCTGCGGACTGGGGACATTGCTCCCAAAAAAAGAAAAAAATTCCTAACTATTTTTACGGGTTTCTATGATGCGTTTGGAAGGCAAGGAACGACAAGCTCTTTAACAAAATTTCAGAGTAAAAACAACGTATAATGTCATCGTGCTTTAAATAAAATTCCGTCGGTTAAAAAAAAAGGCCTCAATTTTGATTTATAATTGTCATCGTTATTTTCTATATAATAGTAAATGATGGGAGGGGTTCAATGACAATGTTAATCAATATCGGCTAAATTTTTTTTTTTTTTTTTTTTTTTTTTTTTTTTTTGTTTTTTGTTTTTTTGTTTTTTGTGTGTGTGTAGTGGTGAATGAAATATATAAATGATTTTGAAAATGGCAAAAAATATATTAAAAATATAACCCACCTCTAGCAAGTAACTAGAACGAGGACTAAACATGATAAATACAATTAACAGGTTACATGGTTAAAGTTTACCACATGCAATCACCCTATGGATAATTTCCCATTTAACCAAACTATAAGACAAAGACATTAAATTTTCAACGATCATTACTAGAAAGGGCGAAAACTCGGAACAAAATATAAAGAAGAGAAACAAAAAAATAGCTAATTACAAACAATAAATGGAGAGTTACTACATTTAATATTTAATCACCCCACTACTTCCGCTACATTTGACCCATAAGAAAACATTTGTGTTTATGTTATTCACCATAGTCTCCTGAGTTATGTGATAGTTCTAAAAAATTCAACAATTCCTTGCTTTCTAAATCAACCATAGTGTATCATAGCAAATCAACAGAATTTTTTCAGGCAATTACCCCAATTAGCAACAAAGTTTAGAGGATCCAGTTTGTAGGTATTATTTTTATAACTTAATCATTTAAAACCTTGGCATTTTTGTATGGACATGGTGTGGCATTGGGTGAGCCACGGTGTGGCATTAGCTGAGCCGAAACATGCATTTATGCGACGTTACAACGTGGCGGTATGTTCCCATGGCGTGACAGTCATTTTTGGCCAAAAACCTAATTTTCAGGATTGGTGCTCTATTTAAGGTCACTAACCCTTATGGTTGGCTCATTTGGCAGCCTCCACCTTCTGAGATCTTATCCCGTCTAAACCCTAGCCTCCATATATGTGTTTTGAGTGTATGAAGCCATCTTTGTGAAGGTTAAAGAAAGATGGAGCTCATCTTGGAATTTGAGTGCTTGGTTCTAGCATAGATCTTGCATCTTC